ACCAGTTCGGTGAAGAGGAGTGGAAAGAACGGACTTGTTGGAGGAGCGGAGCTGACGTGAGTGCGTAGAGCTGAGAAGGTTAAACTGAGACTTAAGATGTGAAGGAGAGTTGGGATCATTTAGAATTGAAAAAAGGGTAGAGAGAATTCTGACTTTGCGTCGAAGCGGGAGAGGCAACCATTGAAGCTGAGAACGGTAAGCGGAGATATGGTCATATTTACGCAGACAAAAAAAATGCAGCTGGCATTGTTGACAAGGCGATTCAACCATCTGATTTATCTAAACAGTGCAATAAATTATATTCACTAGGAAGTTCCGAGCCTAGAAGGCAAACTATTACTGGTTTGAAACTACACTTGTCTTACCATGAAAATCTATGTGATTTAAAGAGAAAACAATAAAGACTGACTATTTATAATAACGTTTTCTTTATTTTTCCCTCAAAATATGAGCCTTGTAAGGAAGTTTCGGTTTCGGTTTCGGTTTCGGCCGAAATAGACATCGTTGCCGAAATTCGTTTTCGGTTTCGGTTTCGGTCGTAAAACTAGTTTCGGTCGGACACTATTTGCTGTTAGTTTTGTTGTGGTGGCGAGTTTTCGAGTGATTTATTTTGAATTTGGTAAGTTTTATCTCGTTTTATGTCGTTATAACATAAGAGCGGGTAGTAAACATAAAAAAATATAAATATGACTGATAAAAGTTTAATCAAGTTTAATCTAACCTACAATTTTTTTTTGGTTCGCAAATGCTATACGTAAACAAACATTAGTTAGGTAGTTAGTAATGACTGTAGTGCATTTCATGGTGATGATATTATGGATTCAGAGTTTCAAAGTTCATTTTAGTATTTATCACCGAGGTATCCAAGTGCCAAGTGCAGTAGATACTAACTTACGTACTACCAATTTTGTTTTGAGAAATTATTAAGGTAAAAGACCCGACCATGGGACGGGTTTTGTAGATGTCCTGAATATTGCGGTTAATTTAAAAAAATCTAGACTATAAATCCTTTTTTTTTCTTTTTTAAAACTTAATTTGATACCTTTTAGAGTAAAAAGGCGCTTTATAAGTTCAATTTTAATGCATTTTAAAGAGAAAACAATAAAGACTGTCTGATTATAATAACGTTTTCTTTGTTTTTCCCTCAAAATATGAGCCTTGTAAGGAGGTTTCGGTTTCGGTTTCGGCCGAAATAGACACCGTTGCCGAAATTCGTTTTCGGTTTCGGTTTCGGTCGTAAAACGTAGTTTCGGTCGGATACTAAATATGTTAGGCACTGAAAGTAAATCAGGCCTCTGCAGCCTGAAAAATAATAAACTAGTCAATTTTTCAGTGTTAAATTTTCAGTTTCATTGACCAACTAATTTTCAATAGGCAAAACAGACATTAAATCAATGGATCTAAAACCGGTGATATGACGAGCCTTCTGCTATACCTACTGTTACTTGTCTTATTTCGACTAGACCCATTTATCTTACAGGATATTTGGATTGATTTCAGAACGCAACATCTGAAATTTAGCTACGCACACATTATGTGCTGTGTACCTAGGTAGGTACTTCGAATCAAAAAATAATCTCCCTAAAACAAGTGCAATGACAAAAGTAATGGAACAAATGCTCGCCGTGGTCTCTCGCTCGGCGGCGCTAATGTCATCGCGATGACGGGCGTCATTACCGGGGTCGTTACGGGGCGGAACTCCGCCGTTACCTAGAGACAAAGCCTGAAGGCTATGTGCCCGGCCATTTTGTGAACGGGATAGTTTAGGAGATAGGTTACAATTATTGTTATTATGAATTATTTATATTATCGTACCTACATGTAATAATATTAAACTGAAAGAGGGAGAAGAAGAAACTATACTAAGAAGTTACACACATACTGAAGTTAGCTGTTGCCATTATAAAACTTGAATGCAATTTTTTGTTGTCTATTTACAAACAAGTTGAGCACCAAGCCGCAAAATACCTACATAGAATATCTTAAAAGTATCACTTCGCAAGAGTATATTTTCAATAATATGAAGAACCACTTGAAACAACGACCATGGCAAACGGTACGTAATGTGAAATAACTCTTTTATGTCAGTACGAGTTGTGATAGAAAAACATGATGTCTCCAGAAGTAGACGTAGTACATAGGCGCTGCGTTCTCCCCGTTCGTTAGCAAATGCATCTCATAATGAGCGTTTTGTGTGTTCGCGCAAAAATATATGAAAATTCACTTCCCGCCCACCGCGAGGACATTGGGCGGGCGGTTGCGATTCAGATATAAGATAGTTTTTTTTTTTACATGCCATTTTTTTAACTACAAAGCTAGCCTACATTTCATCAAATGGAAAGTGATGATCAGACCCAAGGTGGAATATTCACCAGGAATTCAGCTAGCCAGTTCCTCTGTAGTTGACTACAGATGAACTGGCTATCTAACCCTCAAAACTATTTCACTGTGAGTAAATATTTTTTTTAAATTACTGCCTGAATAAGTAATATACAACTGTATATTAAAGTTAATAAACCAAAGATTAAAAATGAGCTTGAGATGGCAGTAACACAGATAAGGCAATAAAATAATTCAAAATGCTACAAATGTAGTTAAAAGACGAAAGTTCAATAAAGGTAGGTACTTTAAATAAAAATAAATAAAAAGGTATTGTACTTTTCATATTGACATCGAAATTTTTCTATCGACTTCCGCTCCTTTCGCTGCGCAGCCGTCATCGTCATCTTCGTAATGAGCGCAGTAATCAGGCCCCACCACCCCCTCGATTAAAACTATGCATTTGTTATGTAATGTACTGACGAGGCGGCGTGCGCTCGCTCACCGCACTTCAATGTGGATGACACTGTATATGCCTAGGGCGGCTGATATAGTGTGTAATGTGTAGGTACGTCATTTTTATTATGAACTCTTGCATATTCTTAGCGATTCAACAATGTTATGCTAAGCTAGTAATATAAAAACTAAGTACCTGATTAGACTTAAAGGAAATAAAAATCCCAACGTCTGTCTTCCTGCACTCATTTAACCTGTAGTCGCCTAAACTCAGTAGACTAATTTATTAAGTAGGTTTCAGGATTACGCTTACATCGAATTGGACTTGATCAAACACATAAATACATAGCTGTGATAAATTTATATGATACACGTAATACAGATTTGTGCACGAAAACACTCACGTAAAGATCGGTATAACTGCGGTCAATTCAACTGTGTACCTACACTACATAATATGTGCTACATATGTATAAAATTCCAAAAGCAAATATTTTTTTCAACCTGAAAAATTTAACAAGGTTACAAAATGGTGAAGCACTAACAAAATGCCCGCTACGACCTTTGCTACGAGATTTCGTAGCATTTTTAAACGAATGTTAATGACGGTCATGTTTGGGATACCTTACTTTTATTTAATTTAATTTAATTTGAATAAATAGAAATAGAAATATTTATTTGTCTTTGATTTTGAATTGTGACCTTGAAAATTCGTAAACTCTTCTTGTATAATTCTTAAATTGGCATAATATTGAGAATTATACGAAAATTCATTTTTCCATACTACGATTTTTAATTTAATTTTTATCAATTTAATGGTGAGAAGATCAAGATAGATACTTAAAAAACTATTTACGGGTATCAATTATAACGGGTAAATTAATCTATACTTATAATAAATCTGTAGAGAGGTCAATTCTGTACATGAAATATATTTTCAAAATAACTATCAGGGGGTGATTAGTGATCGATACTGATGCCAAAAATGCAATCAGTAAAATTTTTGTCTGTCTGTCTGTCTGTATGTTCCTTATAGAAACAAAAACTACGCGACGGATTTTAACGAAACTTAGTACAATTATGCTCGTGCTTTGTCCTCGAGATTAGAAATAAGAACTATGTAGTATCACGTACGGTGATGCCAGTTTACGCACTGTTAGTTGAGGATATTTTTTTTTTTTTTTTTGTGGGTATCTCAGTTTACATCCCATTTGACATTGGTATCCGTCGTCAGTCACGATTCAGTGCTCTGCCAGTTCGCACTTCTTCTACTTAAATACGTACCCAGTGTTAAAAATAGTGTTTTTGTGTCGTCAAAATGCCGAACGAAAAACGTCAAATGAGGATAAGGAACATTTGCTGAAGAAAATAAATAAATTGGAGCAGAAGATATGGGGTGCTGAACGTCGTTCAAGCGGTTCAACGACGAACGGAAGATCATCGTTACACATTACCATAATGCGAACAACCATCCCGGGTTGTCTCTTTATGCCAGTTGTGTTTTTCAGTGGATTTGTCGATAAAATTGATCATAATTATTACTGCGCCCTAACGGGTCGGACACTGGTGATCAGACACACTGTATAATTATTATAATTTTAGCCTATCTCGTGAACTAGGTGTCAATAATTAGGGTGATTTACTAACTAACCAGTCGCATACGAACAACAGCAGTGAGATTCCTGTGGATTCGAACAAGTTTGATCCATGATGCCGCACGACTTTTGTGTGAGCCCACTCATAACCCAAGCTTATTTAGCTTAACACGAGGGGCTGGACGGGACTATTAGTATTTTGTGCAATACAAATTGCTAATTATCATTAAAAAATATTTTTATTGCTTTATTTAACCTTCCTTTCGTATACTAATTTATGCGTCAGTGTCAAGTCTGCGATTTTTATTCTTTGAAATTTTCGTAAAATGGCTGCCGCCGCGGTCACGAATTGTAATTGACAAATCAAAATTAAATTAGTGTTTTAAAGTGCATAAATGTACAACTTAATGGTAAAAAGTCATTCCTTGATTTTTACTTAATATGTTTCTGGTGCCGTGTGGGGACGGCCATAAAGAATACTCTTCCCCACCGCCAACAGGAGGCGTGTCGTAAGAGGCGACAAAATCCCTGCAGCACCGGACGGGCAGCAGCGTCTGCGTGCGAAACCTTATAAAAAACTGCGATCGCCAACCCGCCTGCCAAGCGTGGCGATTAAGGCAAATCCCCCCCATGGAGAGGAACAAAAATACACGGCCCCTAGTCCCCGGCGGCCCCACTATCCCGGGCCACGGTAGCGGTCACGGTAACGGTGGGGCGAGGGGTGCTAAGAATCACCGGGTACCGACAGGCTACCAACCCCGACGACCTCTGGCCCTGGCAACATTTAACACTCGCACGCTGCGGACTGACGTGAGGCTCGCCGAACTCGAGGAAGAACTGAGCAGGTTGCGGTGGGATATCGTAGGATTATGCGAAGTCCGAAGAGAGGGGGAGGACACCATAATCCTGAAATCCGGAAACCTGCTCTATTTCCGGGAGGGCGACCAGCAGTCCCAGGGTGGTGTCGGGTTTATCGTCCACAAGTCCCTTGTCAACAACGTGGTCCAGATCGAGAGTGTTTCGGCGAGGGTAGCGTACCTTATACTCAGAATCACCAAACGGTATTCGCTGAAGGTCATACAGGTATACGCACCGACCACGGAACACCCCGACGACGAAGTGGAGACTATGTATGAGGATATTTCCAGAGCCATACATAGCTCCCGGTCCCATTTTACCGTTGTGATGGGGGACTTCAACGCGAAGCTGGGTAGACGAAGCGATAATGAGCTGAAAGTGGGGCAATTTGGGTATGGAGAGAGGAACGCACGTGGCCAACTGCTGGCTGGCTTTATGGAGAGGGAGGGCCTCTTTATGATGAACTCCTTCTTCAGGAAGCCAAAACAGCGAAAGTGGACATGGCTGCATCCCAATGGCGCTATAAAAAATGAGAATAATTAATGATTAAACGAACTTAAAAAGTGAAGTTCTATCATAATTATGCGAGGGCTTTGTCCGAAGAGATTAGAAACCCTCCCACCCGTCTTTAACAATCATATACTCATATGTAGGTATATTATTAAAAACACAAACCCCCATATTAGTGAAATGATAAAAAATACAAATTACTACTCCAAACTAACTGACGACGGATACCAATGTCAAATGGGATGTAAACTGAGATACCCACAAAAAAAAAAAAAAATATCCTCAACTAACAGTGCGTAAACTGGCATCACCGTACGTGATACTACATAGTTCTTATTTCTAATCTCTTCGGACAAAGCCCTCGCATAATTATGATAGAACTTCACTTTTTAAGTTCGTTTAATCATTAATTATTTTTCATACTCCTGGGCAGGTTATACCTAGTATACTTAGAAATTCCCACCCCATAAACCGCTTAAGTTAGACGCTTGAAATTTGGCATGCAGGTATCTTAGTAAACTTAAAGCTTAGTTACAACAGGATATTGCAAAATTCCCACGGGAACGGGAGTTAGCGGGAAAAAACATTTGTATGAAAAAATCTAAACTGCTTAAGTTAGACGCTTGAAATTTGGCACGTAGGTATCTTAGTAAACTTAAAGCTTAGTTACAACAGGATTTTCCAAAATTCCCACGGGAACGGGAGTTAGGGGGGAAAAACATTTGTATGAAAAAATCTAAACCGCGTAAGATAGATGAAGGGGGTAAAACGGGATCCACGCGTACGAAGTCGCGGGCGGCCGCTAGTCTGTACTAAAGCTGAAGAGTTTATGTTTGCTTGAACGCGCTACCTGAGGAACCACTGATCCAATTTGCAAAAATATTTTTGTGTTGGATAGCCTATTTATCAAGGAACGCTTGCATTATTTGCATCACCATTTTCATCGCAAACAGGTGCGGAGCAGTAAAAAAAATTGTAACAAAAACGGAAAATATTTCTATTTTTAATCGTATGAAGTCGCGGGCACAGCTAGTTAATTAACAAAAAAAGGGTACGTAACTATGATATTTACTAAGACCTATTTGGTTCTACCTACTTACTCGTAGTTGGTCAAAGAAAATGCCACACTTACGGGACACATGCAGACCCCTGCCTGCCCCTCACAAAATGGCGGGTCCGGTCCGAATTACCGAGTTAGCGCCAACAAGGCCCTAATCCAGTAATAGGGCTGGCTGCCCATGGTTGACGCAATTTGTGGACCGGCGCTGAATGCTTTGTTATAGGTATAATCTTACCGATGCGTAACATGTTCTAAATATCGTAAGTTTTGATTAGATATTTTCAAAATTATATTCGGTTACACAAGTGTTTATGATGGAAGTGCGTTTTTCGTGTGTTTGCAAAGCCAAGCAATGTCTCTTTTATCAGTTTTTGCTTGTAGTTAACAATAATGAGATGAGTACAAAATAATTGAGGGTAAATCGCGTGCTATCTCTTGGCAGTATAGTATTATATATTTTTTATCACTACACATGAAAATAAAAGCCATTATTTTTTGAAACATTACAACGATTATCTCGTACTACATAATATTAATTTCTCACCGACCATTTAAAACTCCTACGCATAAAGAAGATACTTTCCAATAAGAGGTTTAGTAAAAAAAAGGTTTAAAACCTGACCTTTACAGTTCATCATCTTGGCGCAAAATATGGCAGCGATATTTACCACGTTTCACATTGATTCCCAATTTGTCGGGTAACGACTTTACCTCACAGAGAGCGAAACGAACCGTCAGCCGGTGTGAAGGCTAACGCGATCGGAAGCAATCTTCCGCGCTGGCAACCCTGGTGTAAACAACTACTCAGCTTTAAACCTTATTATAAGCGGCTAAAGTTGAAAACGGTTTGGATGAATTATTTTGATGTTATTACGTGAAAGCCAAGAATATTGCGTTTTAGAAAATTACGGCAGATTTGGGGGGAAAATGAGGAGATTGACGCGATTCATCTAATTATATTGACGCTAAATGCGTTTGGACGCGGCGGCTTTGATCAGCCGCGGGCGCGGGCGCAGGGCTGTGGGCCATTTGCGGGGTAGGCTGTGGTTTGATAATTTAAACATAAATATTATTTATTTATTTAAGGAAAACATACTCAAAATATTATAAAATTACATATTTTTTATGTTGATGTATGTGAATTAATTATTACTTGGATTCAAAATAAGTACGTTATTTAATTCTATAATTAGTTTATTGTATAAAAAAGGTAGTAGGCACACTAAACAAAGACCAGCGAGCTTTATATAACGCAGCGCGTGTGCACTTTGGCGCGGGCGGTGGAATCGTGCGCCCATATCATTATGTGCTCGTTCCAGTACGGACAGCAAGAAAACATATTTTTACTATTCATTTCTTTACTTTTTAATAGTGACTGAGTTTCTTGCGCTGCTTCTTCTTAGCACTGCCCCATTTATTGTCTCGAAGAAGAGGTAAGTTAAAGTAATAAGTACTAAGACGTGAAAGTGCATTAAAAGAAAGTTTTCATAAAAAAAAAAACAATATATTTACCGCTACGCAAACTTAATTTCTCCCATCGATAACACCTACTAAGTACCTTACACTTGTACTTTTTTTTGGGAATTTGACATCACTTAAAAAGCAAGTGATTGAAGGAAATTCCACTCATTTTCAGTTCAGAATAGAAGTCAACAGAACATGTTGTCATTCATTCACAATAGGTACCTATATCCCTTCATAAGTCATATCAGAATTTATAAGATTCTCGTCTTAGGCTTCAATAAGTTTGTCTTGCTATCGGTCCCCGCTGTGAAATGAGGCGTGTAAGTTGATCTTGGACATAGTTATGTGAGCACATGCTAAGTGTCATTCACTCGTACAGTCGAGTGCGGAACTATGTACGAACTTCTCGCCCACACCGCGGAATAATGGTGAAAGATGAATACATATTTATTGTGCCTCTTCGCCAACGCACATATGCAATGAGTTATGTACCTAGGTGCTTTGTCAAAACCCTTTGAAACGCCCACTATACTAAAAAAAATACTAAGCCCACAGTTGATTAAATATATTTGAACGCAAACATACCTACCAGTAAACAGTTCTCGTGATTGTATGTAATATTTACCTGTACTGTAGGTAGGTACATTAAATAGGTGTAGATACCTATAAGGAAATCTTTTTTTTGCAGTTTTCTATCACAAACATAATAAATCGAACCGAAAGTTCTCGACAATGTCCAAAATGTTATTAATAATAATTGTAGAATTTGTGTAAATAAATAATTGTAATTAAGAAATACTCTCTATTCTCACTCTTACTTGTATGGTTGAAATATCTGCTACCGAACTTCATGCCATATTTCAGGATAGGTAAGTACACACTTCCTAGCTTGCACTACAAATCACAAGTCACAACGCAAAAAGGTGTAGTGCGTGCGGTTTATGAGAAGAATCCAAAATGTACTTATTAAATAATAATCTCAACATTATTATTAAATTAGGTAAAGCTTTGCGATTTAAAAACACTTTACAGGAGTAATAAGTAAGTAAATAATAGCTTTAAGTAAGTAAGTAAAAGTAGTAATACTGTAGTTAATTATATCTATGCATGTTTTTTGTTTTATTTTATTTTATTTATTAAGGAAATAAACAGCAACATGTATAAAACATATAAACCAAACCAAATAAGTAACTCATTTGCCTTAAATTATTTCCACTTCTAGTTAGCACAGGTTATGTTGATTAGACAATAATTAATAATACAAACTGAAACACATTATAGTGCTGAAACACATTATACATATAATTAATGGAAACGGGTAAGTATAATCTAAGTAAACAGAATATACACAGTGGGTACGCAATACGCATACACGCTGAGGTAGGTAAGTATGCGTACACCCAATTTTATAAAACTCCTTGATTTCGGTAGCTTTCATTTGTACCTAGGTTTATATTTTGTTATGGACTGAAAATCTTTCAAAATGTTCTACTACTACACTACACTACTACATTTTCATACGAGTATCTATAAAATAACGTTTCCCAAGTGCAAAAACAAATTATCTACATTATTTACCATAACTAAACACATAAATCCATTCATCTAAGCAAGCTAACTTGCAGGTATCATGAAAAATGACTGAGGACAGTACGCATACCCGCTGTTAAGTGTATTTTAGTCTAGGGAGATACTCTGTCCAGTAAAACTATGGACCAAAGTATTTGAGAATGAATGATCTTTATTTTATTTTCGTAAATTATGATAGATAGGTACACAAATCGATAGGAAAAATTATGCGAAAGCATTAAGCTCTATATTTACCGACAAATTCAAATATTATTTATTGCTTCATGTATACTAAGATGAAAATGTTGAAAATATAAAGTTCTACTATTTTCTTTTTTCAAAATAGTGCAGCTGAATATTGGGGATTAAATCCTGATAACAGTATTTTAATTATTGTCAACAATCAGAATACCCGCTATAGAATACTCGTGAACTTTTATTTTTTCAGGCCTACAGATACAGACGGAGTTACTTTCGCATTTAAAGTACTTATGGATTACCGTAGCATGAAAAATATTATCATGAGCCTACAGTACAATACAGTTGTCTTTCACGTGAAACAAAGTTGGGAAATAATTCCTGTGAATTAACTACGTGAATAAAATCATCCAAGCCGCTCCTAGTTACTTTTAAAATTTAATAATTCACAAATTAGTTTATTGTTACTGTTATTAAGATTAAAACTTAGACGCTAAACTTATCCGAAACAAACTTTTAAAATTGCAAAACGGGTTCACATCTAAAATTTAGCAAATAAAAGTTATTTAGATTTGATTCGGAAGAAACTATATAAAATGTAATATATTATGTTGTAATCCGATAAAAAATACTTTGTATAGAAAATATTAGGGCT